TCCTGAGACAGAAGTCCCTGCTAATGGGTCTTCCCGTTCTACTGGGGGTATTTTGCGTGGGCGTGCTGTTGGAAATTCGTTCAATATAGGTGACTCCATTTATGATGCGCCACAAGAGGTCAGACCCCTTTCTAATGGTCGCATTAACATCACAATCGTCCAACAACCTCCTTCTGGGCTTCTGACATACCATTGGTAACTTTGATCAAAGGGCAGACAGTATATCAACATGTACCTGTGCTCACTGGAAAGTGTCAAAGCTGTAAAACATTGTATACAGCTGATCATGAAAGATTTGAAGATACATCAACTGTTCAAAATACTTTAAAATGAGTCTATATCAACTCAGCCAAATATTTGAAAATTGGCCAATTAATCTGGGCAGATCGTCTATTTGCAACAGCAGTCATAAATGCTATGTATAACTTTCATGGTTCAGCATCTGCATTTTCAGAGTACTGGAATAATACACATGGAACCAAAGAACTTTCAATTACTCGTGCTCATGTCTGGCAAGCATTTGTTCAACAATCTGTTTGTACAATTGCTGAGGAATCTGGAATTGATGCTGAATTTGATGATGGTTTGAACATCAAAGAAGTTACTACTCAGGCATTTTCACTTTTGGGAGAAGATGGAATTATTAGAGCTTCTGAGAAACATGCATGTGATGAATGCACTCAAAAACACAGAGAGACTAGTGATGCAGTTTTCAATAATCCAGCAGCTGTTGTTGGGTGTTGATGCCACAGATGATGATATTCCTGCCTTGGAAGGAGCACCTGAAGGAATGGACATTGATGCACCTCAGGTCCCCTCAGATGATGAGATGGATACTGATGATATCCCAAATATAAGGGTGGTTGTTCTTGATGGTATAGTTATGGGTCCTCAGGTAAATAATTTTAGATTCTTTCTGCTGAGTTCATTTTTTTACAACTTTTTTTTAGCACTGTGCATATGACAATTGCACTAATGATCTCTCCAATGCACGTGGTGGATCACTGTGTGATATACACCACTTAGCTCTTGGTTCTCAATGCTTGGTTCGTGGTTGTAATAACAGAAGAGTAGAAAGGACACTTGCATGTCAACAGCACCAACCAGAGTGGCGTAAACATGCAAAGCACAGCAAACATCACAATCAAGCTGGGGTCCGCCGGATGTTACAACGCCCTGGTGAGAGTAATCCTTGGGAACCAAATCGCAGAGGACCAAATCCCCAACAACATGATGCTCCAAATGCAGAACCACGAGAAGCCCCCAATTACTTCCGTGCAGGTAGATTCTATTGTGTTGAAACTATCTGCACACCTTGTGGTGTTGTTATTGCTTGGACAAAGTTTGATAAATCAGAATCACCAACAAATATTTTAAACTTCCTAGGAAAAGTTTATCCAACAGAAGAATCAAGACCTGATTATATTTGTATTGATAAAGGTTGTCAAGTGTTTGCAACTGCAGTAGCAAATGGAAGTTGGGATATTTGGAAAAAAACTACTCGATTTATTGTGGATGCCTACCACTATATCAATCATCGGGTGTTAGATTTTCTATGCCGAAAATATTGTAATCCCTCACCTGGAGATGGATCTGCTCCAAACCTTGTAGTCATGGCATATGATAAGAATGGTAGAGCATATTTGAAGCGAGCATTCAATACACAGGTATTTATTACTTTATTTAGATTCAATCTCACCTCAACACTGTATTACATCTAGGTTTGTGAACAACTTAATGCATGGCTTGGTGGATATCAATCAATTCTCAAACGTATGACACCTGGAAATTTCAACTGGTTTTTACACACCATGCTGTTCTATCACACAAAGTATGTCCTCCACAAACAAGAGATGAAGAAATCAGATGAAGATGAGGAGGAAAACTTAGGTTTAGATGAAGAAGCTCAAGATGATGAGGACAACTAAATAGTAGTGAAGAGAAAGAGGTGTGCAGAAGTGTATATTAGTGTAAATGTATAGTTAACTGAATAGTAGTAAAGAGAAGTATGCAGAAGTGTATATTACTGTAAATTAACATATACTTGCATTTAAATAGAGGTTTTATACCTTATTCTTCTCATATCCTGTCCCATTCCACAGGAATACACAGGAATACACAGGAATTCCTGTGTATTCCACAGGAATTCCACTGGAATGACTAGATTCCTGCAGGAATAGGTGGGGCACTGTAAAGTACTGGTGGTGGGGCTCGTTTGCAGTTGTTTCGTGGGCGCCGGGTCGTTGTCCCTGGTGCTGGGTTGTCGTTCGTGGGCGCCTGGTCGTCCGTTGCGTCGTTCAGGTGGTTCCACGTCGCTTGGCGGCTCGTCTTCGTTCGTGGGTGTCCGTTCACGTTCGTCGGCACTCGTCTTCGTGGGCGGTCAGGTACGTTGCTCATGGGTGGGAAGAAACAACGACGACGACGTTCGTCGTCTGGTTGCCACGTCGCTGACTGCGACGTGGCACCTGGTTTGTCGTCAAAAGAGGGACTGGGAGGGGTCGACGTGTTTGCTTACCTGAACGAGGCGGAACGTCGGTGGACGTGCCGCTCATCGTCGTTCCCATCCATCCTGTGTGCGGCCCGTGTGACGGGCATTGCCATGTCGTTGTCCGTTGTCGTGGGCTTTGTAGTGGCGCGGTGGTTGTGCATCGTTGATGACGGTGGTGCGTGTCGTTGTGCGTCATCAGCGTCGTCGTCGTTGACGTAGCGGGCGGTCGTGGTTTGAGACGGTGGTGGATGCTGGTGGTGGTGGTGGGAAGGAAAGAATGATGTGGCAACACTGCAGCTGCAGCTGTCACACATGAGACGCCACGTGCCTCAAGGCGGTATATACTTACCTTTAGTTTACTACATTGTAAAGCCTTCATGGCTCAGGTGGCTTTAGCGCTGCTTATATTGACGACATCAAGAGTTCAATTCCTGTGAGTGTAAATTTATTTTTTACTTAAATATAGTAAGGACACTATCAATACTATACTATATTTATATGTATTCTAATGGTATAATATCCTTCCATGGAATCCATATGGACTGCTCCATGGAATCCAATGTGGATATGCCTGCATTCCATATGGAATCCAATGTGGATATGCCTGCATTCCATATGGAATCCAATGGAATCCATATGGAGTGGTGTTGGAGTCCATATGGAATTAGTCATTTTATGACTATTCCATATGGAATCCATGATGGCTATGGAATAAGAAACTGGCTGGGTCCTTAGCTAGCATTGATTCCATGGATTCCATATGGAATTCCTGGTGGATTCCATGGATTCCAGATGGAATCCATATGGAATAACCCGGGGAAGGTAAAGACCTCGTAGTCTTGTATAAGTTTGTAGTGTACAGTCAAATCTTTTAAGGCTACAAAAATTGGTAGTGTCTGCTTTTTTAGACTACAAAGTTTTGTAGTGTCCGCTTTTTTAGACTACAAAAGTTTATAGTGTCCGCTTTTCCAGACTACAAATATTTGTAGTGTCTTGCTTTTTCATTAGCAAAGTTTGTCATGTCCGATTTTTTTGACTACAATGATATCCTTGACTGTGTAGGTACATGAAAATAAAGAAGTTGACTTTATACAAAAAGCCCTCCATCATCCAGTCTTTGTACCTTGCAGAGAATTATAGTCAAGACTGACTATTGGAAAGGGTTGCATAGTGGCAAATGAGACAGGATGTCAGAGACTTCAAACTCTTCAGAGAGACCATGTGCAGAGATCATGTCAAGGTTGAATATGGTTGGCAGACATAGATCAGTGCCTAGATATGACCAGAGAATGGCTGGGGCTGCCAAATGGAAAGACAGAACACCACTGATGTCAAACATAACTTGGGCATGACATTGAAGGGTTTGCATTCTTTGACATCTCACTGTAGGCTATATATCTGATCTTCATGATCAATTGTCAGTATGTAACCCTTTCCCATAGTCAGTCTTGACTATCATTCTCTGCTTGCCTGTCCTGTCTTTCCATATCATGATCAGCAGTCACTATGTAACCCTCTCCTGTGGCCAGCCTCAACTGTACTAAGACTGAAGGATGGAGGGCTGTTTGTTCAAAGTCAACCATATACCATGTACCTAGATAAAGCCAAGAACACTACAAAATATCAGAAAAGCAGAGACTGCAAATTTTGTAGTCTTTAAAAGCTGACACTAGACCTTTCCATCAGAAAGAGCAAAGACTACAAACTTTTCTAATAGAAAAAGCGGAGACTACAAAACCTTTCTAGTAAAAAAAACAGAAACTACACACTTTTCTAATAGAAAAAGTGCAGAGTACAAACTTTTCTAAAGAAAAAAGCAGAGACTATAAAATTTGTAGTGTCAGAAAGCGGAGACTACAAAGTTTTCTAACAGAAGAAAGAGGAGACTACAATTTTTTTGTAGTCTTGCTTGTGTGGAAGTTATTGGTAAATATATGTAAACAAACTCTGAAATGAGCATCTGCAGTTCATTTTGAGTTTTTCTGTCTTCCCTAGTGTAATATAACACACACTAGATATATATTATAGTTATTGTGATGTTTAAGTGTGCATTCCAGAGATTCCCCCATGAAAAACGAGATGGATGGAGAACGGTTGATGATTTGTTATTACAAGTGGTTTTCAACACAGACAAATAAGAGGCTACAGCCGAAAGTCCAGGCATGATGGTCTTTCACATGCGCTTCTCAACATTATGCTAATGTCACAACATGTGATGTGGCTTCTCTCTTCAACCCACGACGACCACCACACGCCAAATACAAACCACGACGCCAACCAGACGCCAACCACCACCATCAGCAAACATACCAACCACGCCGCCAGCCACTACCATGAACAAATGCCCAGCACCACTGTCAGACGGAAACGACGGCCCACCACCCCGTCAATGAACGCCCACCACCGCTGTCAACAAACAGTGACGAGCGCCCACGACCCATCACTGCTGTCAACAAACGGTGATGAGCGCCCATGACCCATCACCGACGAACGGCGCGAGGCCTTTGAACAGATGCAGGCGACGACGAGCCGAGGTGAGCAACTCACCTCAACCTCACCCACTCACATCTGTAACACAGAAGCCAGGTGCCACATCACCGACAGTGACATGGCAACCAAATGACAAACGACGAATTTCAATTCATCGTTTGTCGTACCTGTTTGTTCTAGAACACCATGGTAAGCACCCCCATCCCACCTTCTTCCCAACCCACCTCGCTGAGAGACAGGACACGGGACGACGACAGACGCGGAATGTCAATGCGACCAGTACACGCGACACTGACATGACGACAGCGCACGCCACACGCGGCACCACAACCCATGGATGGCGACGAGGCTCACCACTACGCACCCAGCCTGGACACAGCACCGGACAACATGGAATGCGCCCAGGACACGCAACGCTGACATGATGATGACACGCAATGACGACAACGATGTGGGACAACGACGCAACGTCAACACACGGTACAGACACACAACGACAACACAACATCAACACACGGTACAGACACGCAATGACAACACGATGCACGCGACGACAACACAACGCATGCGACGACAACACAACACACACGACAATGATACGACGCTAATGCAGGACGACAATGAACGAGGGCCCCGCACCAACGGCGACGAGGCTCGCCACTGTCCCTCTTCCCCTCAACATCCCTCCTCTTCCACATCCCCTTTCCCATTCCCATTCCCCTTTCATTCAACATCTTCCCTACACCCCCTTCCCTTCAACCTCCCCTTGCTCCTGAACATACCCCTTCCCTTTCACATACCCCTTCCCCTTAACATACCCCTTCCCCTCATGACATCCCCCTTCTTTACCCATTCCCCTTAACATACCCCTTCCCCTTTTAACATCCCCCTTCCCCTCAACATCCCCTTTCCCATCAACATCCCCCTTCCCATCAACATGTTCCCTACACCCCATTCTCTTTAACATTCCCCCTTCCTTTCAACATCCCTTCCTTCCCTTTAACATCCCCCATCCCTTCTACCTCCCTATTCCCTGTGAAACACTTATAGTAAATAAGTTGTATGTAGCTATCAAATACACACCAAATTGATTTGGTCAGAGTGGACTGTTGTAAGGAACTCACAGGAATAAGTTGTCATCTGGCACAGCTGAACTAACTTAGCAGAAATCCTGCAAAGCTATGGTATGAGCATGGTATGAGTATGGTATGATCATGGTATGGGACCATGGTATGGTATGACAGTATGGCATGGTATGACAGGTATGGTACGGTATGTATGGTATACCATAACATATGGTATTAGTGTTCCTGCATTTTCTAGCTGATTCTCTTTTGTTTGGTCTATGTAGAGCACAATTATTGACTAGAGGTTGACTTTGTCAACAAACACCTCACTTCTGTATTTTAAATACATTTTGATTTCTCCAGATTGATAGGAAGTAGATCTAAATTATTGGAAGAAGACCTTGAAAATGTATCAAGTTTTCATTGAGCCATTCATGCTTAGCTGGTGGCCAAGTTGCACACCAAATTGCATGCTTTTAAAATTAATTGTATGTGGAGTGGTACTTAATGTAGTTGATTATCGAAGTGCATATTCTAGTCCAACCTGTTGGATAATAATCTAGCTCAAGTCCATGTGTTTGAAATGGATGGTATAATGTAGTGTTCAGGACTGATAGATAATACACACAATTTCTTGTTTTCTTTGCTTCTCAAATAACACATCACCACAATGGATGTAGTATTATGCATGCCAAAATCTGGGATCAAGCTCAATTGAACTGATTTTCAAAGGATTAAGTTTACTATATTGCCTCCTTTTGTAGCTTAATATCTCAGTAAAAACCTGAAGAACCCTGCCACAAAAAATGGCACCCAATGGACCAGTATTGCAGCCTGCAGAAATAATTTATATATTTTGAAAAAGGACCCCAGACACCCTTTGTCAGCTTTGGTATGATGGTATGGTATGGTATGACATCATTTGGTATGGTATGAGATGACATGGTATGGTATGGTAACATGGTATTGGTATGAGTGGGATATGGTATGGGTTTTCCATTCCATGGTACCATGGTATTGGTATCGAGCTCATATACCACCCCAGAATGGGTACCCTCAATAGTGTTTGAAAGTCCGGTTAGGTTAGGTTATTGGGTGCCCAGGGGCTCTAACCGAGACTGAGACCGGTTAGGGTTCGTTCCCAGACCCAAAATAACCTAACTGGACCGAAGATAACCAATGAAAACCGGTTAGTTGCAGTTACTAACCGGTTAGGACCGAAAAAATAGAAAATAGATTAAAACGGCGTATATTTCTCATATTCCTTGCAGTAAACATTATTGCCATGCGTCGTAGCTTTAAAACAAGCCCAAGAACGCTAAATTCGGTGAAGAATTGACAATTTTATAATAATATTCTTGAAAGCCTACTATTTTAGCCAATAATTTAGAGATTTGACCATAACTCTGTCAGATTTTTAGCGTTTCTCATGCTTTTAGATGCGTTTTGAAGGGGTATAATAGGGTCGGTTGTAACCGGTCATAACCGGTTTTTTAACTGTTAGTTAACCGCAAAATAACCGGTTATTTCATTTCCAGAATTGACTAACCACTAACCACGGTCCGGTTTTTTTGCGGTTAGGTCCGGTCTGGTCTCGGTTATTTTCCAGTTAATTAACCTAACTTCCAAGCACTAACCCTCAAGGTACCCTAAATCAAGGAATTGATGTACCTCATAGGTACCCTAAAATGGGTGACTGAAGTGGGGGGTGCTCGAACGATATCAGCAGCTGCGTTCAAGCGACCCGTACCCCACAAATCCATGAGTTATGACTCGTTGGGTGGGACGGGGATGGCGCTGTTGAGTGTGTCGATGAAGAAACCGTTACCCTTACCTGCACCTTCGTTGCTTTATCCCGCAGAACAGCAGCGAGGGCACCAGAGGGAGGTGTCGGCGGATGATGAGTATGATTATATTGGTGCATATATGGGGAGTGATTCGGGGAGTCCTGTGGTGGCTGAGTATGCAGGAGGAGGAGGAGGAGGAGGGCAGGGTGGGTATGGGGAAGGGAAGTTCACAACTGATTTGGAGGGGTTGAGATGAACCTCAGGATATTTGATATTGTTTTTGTATGACTTTATTTTTTAATGACAGTGTCTATTTTGTTTACTTTATACATGGTACTTGGATGCTTGTATGATGTACTTTATCAAGAGAGTTGTGTCCAGAACTGTGGAAATGGAACTTGACCTTGTGCTGAAGTTCCACTTGGTTGCAAGTAGGGGTAAGTTTCAGTAGAATATGGTAAAAAGAAGTTCCAATGTGAGATGATATGTGTTCTATGATGAAAATTCAGAACTCATTCATACATATGTACATATTTACAATCAAGCTCATCTTGTACTGCTCAACTTTATGGGTTTGATGAGCCTGCCAAAACAAGTCACCAGGTGAGATGAGGAGGGAGGGGAATGGGATGTCCTCCTGCATGCCCTCACTCATTTTCTGGTCTGTTCAGTTTGTACCACAGAGATACATGTTTGAAAACAATAAATTGAACCAAGATATTCAGAATGTTGGGGATGTGCCAAGTCCTGCCAATTTCCTGCAGGTGGATAAAAAAGGAAAATTTCCGTATTTGGTAAGGCATAGTAAGATTCTTTTCCTCCACTAGACCCATTCTACTATATAGGGAGATCAGCTGACAAATAATCTCCTTATTTGGTAACTTCCTTGCCACTGTCCTTCGATCTATAACACTCTGCATGTCCCTCACTCCAGGTGTGTCCATTTCAAAATCTGAGAAGCAATTCAACTTTTTTCTATTGAAACTGCCTTATTTGTGCTCTTCATTTGTTATCCTAAACTTCTTTGAAAAATAGCCATGCAGCTATTATACTTCCCCCAAGTCCCTCTAGCTGTGTCCTTTTCAAAATGTGAGAATCAACTACTCAACTTTCTGTTAAAAAAACCTACTCACTTGTGATCTTTCAAAATATTATCCCAATTTCAGTGGTAAATAGTTTCCTGCATTAGTAGCCAGTGCAACTGGCAGCATTTCAGAGTTAGTGCCACTTACATACAGTTTATGAACCACAGCCCTGGTGAGTCCTCACACTCTACAATAAAGATTGTGCCCTAATTCTGTTCCCACAGGCAGAGATGAGGAAGCTTTCTTCCAAGCCTTCACCAACCAGGCCATCAACTCCATCCACCATTTCCTCATTGACATCTACTGTTTCCTCCACATCAACATTTTCACCCTCCATCATGTTCTCTTGTTCTGAAGAGAGGTTTCTCTTTCAGCTTGTTGAAAGAGGCTTTGGGGAAAAAAAACATGTTTCCAACCCATCCAGGAGTGACATCATCCTCTTGGGTATGGCTGCCAGGCTCCCATTCTCTGACGCAATGATACAGTCAGCCAGACAGGAAAATGACCAGGGTCCCTAGGTCATACCTATCTGCAATTCAGGCAGGGATAGAGATATATGCAGCAGCCACTTACTCCAGTTAAGGTTTGGCAAGTAGAGCCCTCCCCCTTTATATTGGCTGCAACTAAACAGACTGTCATCTAGGCTGTCCACATGGGTCCTGACTGGTAACTTACACACAATGGCTCTCCGTCATCCAGACACCAGCTTCAAAGGTGGCCTTGTACTGGAAATAGTAATTGGGAAAGGTTACTTTGAAGCATTCAAACAAATACAAGGTGACAGATTTACTGCCCTCAAAATATCGCAAAACAGCCATTTGCCCAGACAAGAAAGAAAGAATATTCATATGAATTTGCAGGAACTTGTCACTCACAAAGTGAGCAAGACTTTGAGCTCCAAGGAGCACCTCTCAAGTCTCATCTCAAAAGTGCATAAGATCCCCAGTGCAACAAGACCATAGGCTCAGCAATGCCTCACTTCAAGCTGAATAACAGCGTCTAGGGAAAGTCTGGGAAAAGAGGTGAGGAGAAGGTCTAAGTGAGTGAGCTGCTGTGGGGGAGACAGTGTTGAGTGGTTGAACAGGTCACCTGAAAATTATAGATATTGTCACAGGTAACCTGGGGGTATTCCCAGTGCTACCTTTTCCTCCACTAGGACCATTCTACTATATAAGCTGACAAATAATTTCCTTATTTGGTTGACTTGCCTTTGTCCTTTAGATTATAACACTCGGCATGGCCCTCACTCTGCCAGTCAACTTTTTTTGCTAATAGAACTGCCTTGTCTGTCCTCCTTGTAGTTATCACCACAATTGTTATGTTCAATTTTGGTGGAAAATGGCCATGCAGCTATACATTATACTTTCCCTATGTCCCTCCTTTGGTGTGTCTTTTTCAAAATGTGAAAATCAGCTAAATAAACTTTCTGCTAATAAAACATACTTATTTGTGATCTTTGAAAATATTATCCCAATTTCAGTTGTAAATAATTTCCTCAACCTGCAACATTTCAAGGGTAGTGCTGCTTGTCAGATATATGGAAGGGCTCCTGTTGGTGACCAAGTCAGTAGAGATAACATGGCCAATAGAAACATTTTGGACTATGTACCATTTATGTCAGTCATCCTTCTTCTTCAGCTATGCCATTCACAGATAACCTTTCCTCTAGAATCGAATTGCAAGCCTCACTCCTTTCAAGCTTGCTACCAGTGTCCACCATGACAGAAAGAACAGTTGCCAGGAAAGCAGCAAGCATACTAGTGTTGAAAAAGAGGGAGAAGCAAGGTCTGAGCCAGCTAGTATATGGGGGATGATAATAGGATAGTCTGAGTTGAACTGGTGTCTGCACCTCACTGTGTCCTCCAATGCGATGGCACAGCAACTCGAGTTGTCTCAGCTCCAGGAAAAGAAAAGACTAAAGAGTGAATGAGCATGGTGCAAGCCAGCTAGTATTCAGGGGATGATAATGGGATAGTCAGTAACTGTATTGATGGTAATTGCACATGTACACAATGGTGCTGGTCTAAGCTTGTGGGGTGCTCTTCATCCATTCCCAAATGCAAGGTTCATCTCATGGATGCAAATCTGGGTTTGCAATGTGGCTCAGAAGGTGAAATCACATGGAATCATCTCTATATGATAGCATGAATGTAAGAGTGTATGTATATTGAAGGCAAAATAAGGTCCTGCTGGCTAAAATATTGAGAGGTGGCTTGTGTGATATACACAAAGGTATCATGAAAGTTTTGTGTGGCAGGGACATAGTGTGACTTATCATAATATGTAGTTATAGTGTTATATGGGTAGTAGTGCAGAAATAGGGAAGAGCAACCTATTTCCCAGTATCCTTTTACTTGGGTTGGTGAGTTCTAACTTATATTTCTATCTACTCCCACACAGATATTTATTTGTGCTTAAGTCAGGGGTCTTCCTCTACTTTGCAGTATGTCAAGCCCCTGCTCATAATAAACCATACTAATATTGTTCCTCCCTTAAATATGAAAACTCAGAATTCAATCAAAATGTAAGTGCATTCATCAGGTGAAAGAAAGGCATACTCAAATTTGAACAGCACATATGTATCACTTACCTCCAACAAAAGGACACTGCCCTCAATCTAACAGATGAAGTCATCCATTATTTTGGTAGCAAGGAGGAACTCAGATCCTTTTACCCATCAATGTGAGAGGTCAAGGTAACTCTACATCTTCTTGCACATACTGCCATTTACAAGTGAGCCAACCATTAGGGATATTTGCAGGGTGACATGCCCTTCAGTGACATCACACTTGACTTTGCAGTTATTGCAGAAGTGGGGCCTGCTACCTTACAAATGGTCCTGGTACTACATTGACTAATTGTTTTGAGTATTATGGGGCATGCAAATAATCAATTTGCCAGTATTAAGGGCTGCATCCATCAAGATGGTGAACCTACATTCTGGTGGGATGAGGGTGAGATTGAGGAGGAGGAGTAGGGGTGAAAGAGGTGGAGGTCTGCCTTCTGCTTGAATATCTAAATCACAATAAAACATTGACTTGTAGAAGCTTAAAGGGGAAGAAAATCTCCCACAAAAAGATGTATTTTGCAAACCAACTGGGGGTAATAACAGTATTCTGTCCTCTTCCCAGCGTGTATTATCCATTAGTATAACCATAAACTATGGGATAGTTTATATGATCTCTCCAAATTGAAAACTTAGTGTCTGTAATGGAATATATATTTTACAGGATGTCCCATGCCAAATTTGAGCTTGTTTGGCAGTCCTGTTGTCGAGATACAGAAGTGGATGGGGTAGGAGGAGGCATAGTCACATTATATTCCAAAGATATCTGAACACTCTGAAATATTTTTTCTACGGTCAATTGAAGTATAGTAAGCTGGTAAAGATGTTATTTTGGTCATTGGGTCATCCCTGAATATCTTTGGTATGGTGGTGCATGCAGTATACATATCATATTCACTGGGCAGGCTGTGGTTCTGGAGAGACTTGTTACACAATCTATGATACACTGGGGTATTCCATGTCAGGTTTGAAGTTGTTTGGCAGTCCTGCTGTTGAGACACAAAAGTGGGTGTGACAGGAGGAGGCATAGTCACATTATATTCCAAAGGTACCAGAAGACTCTGAAACATTTTTTCTACAGTCCATTGAAATATAGTGAACTTTTGGAGGAGTTATTTTGGTTATTGGCTCATCCCTAAATATCTTTGGTTTGGCATGAACTGGAGGCAAAAAGTGGAATCCTGATGCAAAGCCTGCAGGAACATGTCAGTGTAGGTGTGCTGAGCAGTAGAATTACTTGGTCGTATGTAGCTTTTGATCTCTTGTCCAAGTACTTCATGATGGAGTTGTGAATTTTCCACCCTGAAGTTGTACCATCTGCCAACTGACCGGTGGATGGTTTGAAGCAGTCAATTCTGGAAGTGAGATGTCATCAGTCACGATGTCGGTCCAGTCAGGAATGGGATGTTTGGATGGGTAGGGAAGGATTTTTATTGGGTGGTCTGTTGATCATTAAGTCAGATATATAGAAACCAGAAAGAAACAAAGTTCCTCAGCATCAAAGTCAAATACACCCCCTGAATGGTAGAAAGCATTATCTCTATCCAGCAGGGCTTGCAAGCAGGCACACCCAACCTTGTGACAAGGAAGGTGGGTGAGGGTATTTGACTCTTAAGTGATGGGAGGCACACTCCCAGAAACGAAGACATATATTAGTACCTACACCTGAGTGAGATGTCTGGTTCTGACGCAGATGTTATCTTATCCTAAGATGAGTTTTGCACTTGTGCCTCATGCTTACTCATCACCGAGCTTGCAAGCAGGCACACCCAACCTTGTGATGAGGAAGGTGGGTGAGGGTATTTGCCTCTTCCATAAGTTGGTGGATTTATGCCTGATGAATACCTAAAAACTCAATGTCAAAGTTTATGAAATACAATTAAGAATGTATTACTAACATTTTGTGGAGGAACAGGATGTGGACATTGTGTTTGAGGCTATGTGTTGATGTGGTGAGCATGTTGGGCAACATTGAAAATAGTGTTTACCAGTGTTTGGGTTGTGGTGTTTCAAGTCACCAGTTTCAGGTCCTGAATTCCTAATTCCTGCAAGCATGTACACCCACTGTTAACATGATACAAGTTTTCGCTTACCACTTCCCACTTTACATTTACCGACATCCATTTCCATTTCCTGCTACCAACATCCCATGGCCCATTTCCTGATGTCCACTTTCCACATCCGTTTCTGGCTGTCCTTTGCATATTTTCAGTACTATATATGTACCTTTAGGCTATTTAATAATTTCCAAATGTCAAAATTTGGTATATAAGGAGTTCCATTCCAAATTAAAATTTTGCTATGTCCATTTCCCACTACCAACATCCTGCGCCCATTTCCTGACATTCGCTTTCCACTGGCTGTCCCTTGCATATTTTGTGTTAACACTGACTTTGGTCCAATTTCCCATATTTAAATCTTTTGATACAACCTAATATACATATTGGGACATGTGAATATCCTCTTCATGTTACCCAAAACCCAACTCCAATTTGCGCTGATGAATCATGCTCCCACTTTCCCATGTTCAATTCCTGTACCTTAACACTGGCCCTAAATTATGACCAAACAAACCTATCCCCATTAAACAGTTTTTTTTGGCCCTATTGCAAATGAGGGTTCCTGTTTACTAAATGGAATTCTGACACCAGGTTCAGATTCCTTGACCTATCAGTATTGTAACTGGAATCAACCTTTGATTCCGCACATATATAGCAAGTCCAATGTTTTGTACCCCTTGGGGTACATAGCCCTAGTAGTATTACAACCTAAAAAACTGCCATGCCTGGATTTCTATACCCTGCCCATTTTGCACTCCCTCCCATCACTCAATTCCAACATTCTCAGGCTCATTCTGTAGTACCCATTCATGCAGTTCCAATGAACCCCATTTTGTCCAAATCCACCAAGAATTGGTATAAATAATGATGAAATACTGTGAAATCTAAATCTAAACAGATTTGATGTGGGACAAAGCTATTTTTAGTATCAACTTGTTCTGAACACTCTGAAACACTCTTATAGATGCTCCACCTATTCTACTCAACACTCCGCCCACTGTTACATGGGTGCTCCATGGTCAACACTCCATCCACATCATGGACACCCACTGTTGATACTCTGTCCACATCAGGAACACTTCGTCCACAGCATTGATGCTCCTCCCACATGATCAACACTCCTCCCCCAGAGGTCCTTACCTTCCCCAGGTTATTCTGTATGGAATCCATAGAATCCATGGATAATTCCATATGGAATCCATGGAATCAATGTTGGCTGAGGACCCAGCCATTTTCTTATTCCATAGACCTCATGGATTCCATATTGTATGACCATGGAATGGTCATGGAATGATTAATTCCATATGGACTCCAACACCACTAGCAGTACCCCTCCCCCTCCCACTGATGCTCTCCACATGCATATGTGGGGTATTCCCATGCTCTGTACTTTACCCTCCCCGGCTTAATCCATATGGAATCCATGGAAGGGGGGGTGGATCCCAGACATTCCAGATGGATTCCATGGAATGGCTGATGGATTCCATACTTTTGGGGGATGGATTCCATGGAATAGTTGATGGATTCCATACTTTTTACAGATGGATTCCATACTTTTTTCAATAAATTCCATATTATTTCCATATGGAATCCAGATGGAATGGTCATGGAATCCATATGGAATAAGTTCAAACTTAGAGTTGTTTAAAATATTAGTACAATCAAGTATTCACAGATTGGGTGTTTACAGTGTATTGAATAGAAGTACCTACATAAATTACATACATGCATTTATCTAACTACCTTCAATATCAAAGGGAGGGGGGAGGGAGTGATGAAGGGAGGGGGAAGTGATGGAGGGGGAGGAGGGGGTGTGGGAGAGGGTGTGGTGGAGAGTGAGGGAGGAGGGAGTGATAGGAATGGGGTTTAAAGAGGGGGTGAGGGAGGGGGAGCTGATGAAGGGGTAGGGGGACTGATGGGGGGAGGGGGAGGGGGCAATGGGGGAAGGGAGATGATGAAGAATGGGGGAAGGGGAATGACGGAGGGAGGAGTTTACCTATTGCCCATGTCCGTTCACGCACGTCTTCGTTTGTGGGTGTCGTGTCCCGTGCACTCGTCATTCGGGGTGGGTGTCGTCAGTGGGCACTTGCCGTATGTGGGCGCTCGTCATTTGTGGGCGCTCGGGCGTCGTTCAGTGGGCACAGGGCGTTGTCGTCGTGGGTGGTGGACGGTTTCATGGGCGATGGACATTGTTTTGTGGGTGGTGGACGTTGTCGTCGTGGGCGGTGGGTGGTGGACATTGTTTTCGTGGGTGGGGGATGTCGTTGGTGGGCGGTGGGCGTTGTTCGTGGGCGGTGGACATTGTTTGCGGTGGCGGGACGTCAGTGGGCGTTCGTTTTTGGGCGGCGGTGGTCGTTGGTCTTTGTCCATGGGTGGGCGGTCGTCCTCGTGTCGTGTGTGGGAGCTCGTGGCCGTTCATGGGTGGTCATGGTCGTTCGTGGGCGCTCGTTGATGTTGGTGCGTCGCTGGGTGCTCGTGGTCTGTTCGTCTTCGTCCGTGGTCCACCGCCCACATCTTCAATGGTGGTTGGGCGGTCGTCGTGGTCCTCAAGGCGAAACGATACGACGAACGACGAACGACGACACTGGTCGTCGTTCGTCGTCTGGTTGCAACGTCGCAGCTGGCGACATGGCACCTGGTTGGTGTCAGGAGGGACAGTGGCGGCGTGGTGACTACTTACCAGGCTGGGTCGACGTCGCATGTTGTCGTGCGTCGTCAGCGTCATCGTTGTCATCGTCGTCGTCGATGTCGCGGGCGGTCATGGTTTGAGACGGTGGTGGTGGATGGTGATGGTGGTGGTGGGAAGGGAGGGACGACGTGGCAACACTTCAGCCAAAGCTGTCATGTTTGGCATGCCATGTGCCTGAACGCGGCATATAGATACCTCTAGTCTGCTATGTAGTCAAGCCTTCATAGCTCAGTTTGCTTGAGCACTGTACATATTCACGAGGTTGAGAGTTCAATTCCTCTAGATGTAAAATTTATTTTTACTTAAATATAGTAAGGACACTATAAATACTGTATTCTAATGGTATAATAGTCATTAATTCCTTCCATGGAATCCATATGGACTGCTCCATGGAATCCATATGGACTGCTCCATGGAATCCAATGTGGATATGCCTGCATTCCATATGGAATTAATCATTCCATGACCATTCCATGATCATTCCATATGGAATCCATGATGTCTATGGAACAAGAAACTGGCTGGGTCCTCAGCCAACACTGATTCCATGGATTCCATGGATTCCACATGGATTCCATATGGATTATACCGGGGAAGGTAAAGACCTCCCCATGCTATCCATGTTGCTCCCAGTGTCTCTCCCCATGCATACACAGGCCATTCTTACACCCCATGCCATCAATGTTCTCCCCTCAACCATGCCTTCCCTCACCATTGGCACTGTTCCCCCACTATCCATATGTTCTTCTCTCACCACTAACACACTCCCACACATACATGCTCCCTCAAGCCTTGACGGATCCCGCGGCCTCAGATCCTCTCCAACACTGACTCATCACATGGAAGGGCCTCTTGCCTTCCAACAATGGGGAAAGTTTGCTGTATGCCACTGTAGATGTGAATGCATAGGCAAAGGGGTGGTTCCCCCATGCTTAGAAGGTAGTAACATATGCAAACACCCTTCAAAGAAGTAAGTCATTGCCTTAGCACTCAAATCAACATATGGCAATGTTCCAGAATGTCAACAGACAGCCCAAACACATTTGGTGGATGTCCATACATCATGCCAAGCCTTGCCTCCATGAGAGCCCAAATGACATTGTGGCAAGCATTGGAGAGGTGGAAGAGAGGCAGTGATGTGGCAAAGTGAGGAAAGGATCAAGTGGCACAGGTACATCAATCCTTTTGCCAGACCTTCATAAACTGACTGTGAGTCCGTCCTTCCAGCCCACAACGTGAACTGAAAATGAGATGTGAGTTCTGGGAGCACCACATCGTTCCTGGATAGTGATTGGCAGAAGTTGATACATTGCATTGAGGCAAAAAAAGATGGTGATGTTTGTCTTATTGGTCTTCTTGTGGTCACGCCACTCCCCTGATGCTCGCTTGAGGTGTACAAATGCCGCGTCTTGGAGACTGACTACATCAACAAGACACTCAAGCAAAGTGACAAAGAGCTTGGTCCCATCTTGGGTTTTAATGCTGTAAGTAATCCTGATTCCATTTTTTTGAGTTACCTCCTCATTTTATGTGCATATATGCAGGTAGAATGCCAGTGTATCTGTTCCCAAGCCAGCGCTTACTATGATTTTAACAATGTATTCAATGTCAATGTATTTGGCATCTTTAACACTGCTTGCAACATGGCTAGGTGGGTACTTTTCTCTCTTTCTCTCCACCATAATGTTAGTTAAAATTTTACCCAGCAACAACAAGGTCTAGCTGGCTTGTCCATCTGTCATTTTCAAAGCAGTGAATGTCTATGCGATGCCAATATCAACTCTTATGCAATGTCATGGACCTGACCATGGGCCAAATCTCTGAGAAAGTGGGTCCTTCTGGATAGAATTCCAAGCCTGCTTGATATCACCCTGATGGGGCAGTCTGTGCTTTATTTGAGTAAAATGATCTAAAGATTTTACAATGAATACATACAGTCTTATGCCAGGATGTAAGTGAAGGATGTCAAAAATCCTTGATGCTGTTTTGAAGTGACAATTGGACATCTTTTCAAAAATGCAGATGATGTGCCAACACCAGAGTCCATCTCCATGATTCTCCACAACCCCTGCCCTGTGCACAGGTGAATGAGGCAGAGATTCAAGCATGATTTGAGCCTCAAAGACCTCTACATCTCTGACCTCAAGTCCATAGTTAAAATTTTCTCTGTACATTGATCCAGCATGATTCTTACCTGAGAGTAGGTCAATAAAAACCTTTTTTCTCTCATATGAAATTCAGATCTGGTTGGGCTGTGAATGGTGTACCAGGGGCAGGGCCCAGAACTGGAGCAGACAAGGCTGGGATAGTCTTTTTAGCTGAGTGATAGAGGGTGGAGCAGATGTAGAACCCCATCTGAAGGGTGTTGAAGGTTGAGTAGCTGTTTCCAGCTGAGATGAAGTTTTCAGAAATTGACTTTGAGGAGTAGATTGGTCTGAAAGTGTAACTCTAAAGTGATGAAAAGACAGTATACCAGGGGCTTGCCCAGGGCTCAGAACTGGAGCAGACAAGGCTGGGATAAATATTTGTCTCTGAGTGATGGTTATTCACCATGTAGGACTTGAACCCTAGTGCTGACCATAGAGCTGGTGTCATCATCAGTGCTGTTAACCACTCAGTCATGGTGAAGTTGAAAGACAACCCTCTAATCAATGTGATATACTATAAGTCCATTGTACTTTGAAGTAAAAATTGGAAGAAACATTGCACAACACTATGTGCACTTGGAAATGCTGATAGTAAGACAGGCTGCAGCCAACATTTTGGCTAGATCTGGGGACTGAGTGATACTAATTGCAACTATGATTCACTAGGACAAAACTTATGAATCTTTGTCTGTGAACATAAAGAAAGTCAGTTTGAAACACTGAAGTTTCTGTAAGACATAGGGGAGATTAATTAGTTGATAAAATGGATTGAACTTTGGAATAATTGATATTAAGATTAGCGAATGAAAGTGGTTGGAAGGTTTGTGTAAGCACATCGGTTTTCATGAGTGAAGCATGTAAAAACCACCCTTCATCCCAATCTTATGGGAGTGGTGAAGTGGGCTACCATCCTCAACATCACTCTGAACAAGTGGCCAGCATTTACAGGAACCCTGACACCTATCTGAGGTGCCACAAATTCAGCTCCTTCCCAATCCCCCATGGTGAAAACCCATGTCATGCTTTTCCTACTGTCACTCCAGTCAATATGAACAATCTCACTATCCCCTTCTTTAATGGTGACAATGAAGAAAGCACCCTTGAAATTGAGAGTGGGGCACATAGCCAATTCATCCCCTAACCATGCCAAGACACAGTTATAAGCCCTTGAAAGTAAATGAGCCATAAATTAATGTATAAGTCGAAGAGCCACATACCTTTCTTGTGCCTTCCATTGATCAGGTAAGTAATGTCGAGTCATCTCAATAGCCTTGGGGACTACCCATCGTCCCACTAGATTGAGCAGCTGGTCTATAGCTGCTATTGCTCCAACTGACTGATCCCATGATTCACAAGTTATAAAAGGTGTCAACTTGCTTTGCTCCCAGACACCCCAGTGATAAGCAGGGGTTGCTGAGCAGGCTTCCTCTCATTTAATATGTTGTTGGGGGGAGAGACTCTAAATGTGGTCCCAGGCTGCCAGTAGTAGTGCCTGTGTCCAGGGGGAGACCACAGAAACACAACACAGCATAAGGTATGGGGGATGCTGTGGGTCAGTTGGGGGAATGGCTGTTTCAGAGTGTGGACAGCAGGTAATGGAGTAATGAGCATAAAGATGATTGATTGCCAGGGCTAGCCACAGAGGCCACACACAGGTGATAGGGCAGGTTTAAATGGAGTAATGAGTGTCGAGATGAAAGATTGCCCAGGCTAGCCACAGAGGCTGCAGGCCCACACACAAGCGATAGGGAAAGTTCAAATGGAGTAATGAGCATCAAAATGATACATTGCAGGCTAGCCACAGAGGCCACACACAAGCAATAGAGCAGGTTTCCAAGAAGAGACACTGTAAGGAAAACATCAGTGGGTGCAAAGACAAGGTAACCATGAATAAGAACCAGAAAAACAGAGGACAATTCTGATACCACAGGAAATATGCTGGACTCATCCCTTGACTGTCCTGCAGTCTCTATGAGTTTTTTTTGTTTTTTGTTTTTCTTTCTTTGCTTGATATTGTCTATTGAGAGGACTTTTGCAGACCCAATGACAAAATCTCCCTAAGATGGACAACTTTTGTCTGAGAGCTCTCCAACATCTTTTGGACCTTGAGAAGACTCAACAGACTGAACCATTGTCTATTGATTCACTAGCTCGTGTTTACATCACTCTCACAAGGTGCCCCAATAGTGAACTCAATTACTATGTCAATGAAATAACAGAATCAGTTGCTTGTGGACTAATGCAGCACCTGGTGGGACAGAGTACAAACATTGAGGTCATTGCCACCATCTTCTCCCACTCACCTCCAGCTTGTGCTCACTTCTGCCTCAGCCACCAAAAGTCTTCCTGAATTAACCTTCAAGACTCAGTTTGAGAATGAAATTGCACATGCACTCAAATTTATTCAATGTCATCCAACTTATTCACCTTGCATTCATCCATCTCTGATTCTGAACCCTCCTTACTCATAAAATTGGGTCACTCCACTTCCGCCTCCCTTACAATGGCCTGGTCAACCCAGGGATATCTTACCCCATACTGTCACCTTGTTTTTGACAGTCAAGTTTGAACAGAGATCTTTAATTCTTCTTAGCACACCTTTTGACACAGTAACCCAGTCTGCTGTACCTTCATTGTAACATTTGTGACAAAATTTCCAACAAACAACATCATGTAACCAGCTGCCACCAAATGATTGATTTCTGTAGATTGAACTGCTACTCCCATGGCTGCTGCCCCACAATATGCCTATGCTGTCCTGCCTCATTTCGAAAATCTTTTAAAACTGTTCAAAGACTGGTTTTGATTCGTTGCAACCTGTTAAATGGTCACATGTGTTACATACCCTTGTAACCACATTTATTACCTTTTATTTGGATTTCTGTTTCATCCAAAACAGTTAAGAATTGAGAAAGATGTAACCAAATCCATATTTTACCTGAGTCTCTAGGAGATGTAATTTGGTTTCAGTCATAGCTATGTCAAATCTTCATTAAATCTCTTACAAATTGGTAGAATGACGGGTATTTAGATGCTTTACTATTTTATATAAGCCGTTTATTTTTCAGAGTAATAATAGTCAAGATATAAATGGTTTATATTGGTATAATAAATTATACGCAAAAAAACCGGTCTGGATCGGTCTGAACCAGCTCCATAGATCGCGAAAAGACCGGTCCTAGGTGGTTCAGTTCAGTTCCCTGAATATCTGGGTCAGTCCTAGACCAGTTGCGGTCCACGGTTGCGCGTTTTGGGGGCAAAAAACCAGACTGAACTGAACTTGCAAACACTAATCTGGATGTCAATAGGGGAATCTTAGCTGACACCCCCATTGACCCTGCTGACCTTGCTCAGGCCAAGCAGACGTCAAAGGCCTCCAAGCTGTTAGTGGTGGGTACTTCCCAAAGGCATTTCAGGCCTGCATACTCATGGATCTGTTTCAAGATTCACCCTTGAATCCTGGGGTGACAGAAGCGATGGTTAATTCCACAAATATGAGGATGCTGGCAGTTGAAGGTGCTTGTATGTAGTGTTCGCAGGTCCAGTCTATAGAACTGAAAATATACATAGGACTGAACTGGACTGAACCACAGTCCAGTCTTTTTCCAGTTGCAGTTGCCAGTTGCCATGTTTTTGTAAATATTTAAAAACCAAAAAAGACCGATTTAGACCCGTTACAACCAGATTTTTATCCCAGTATGTGTTGGCCCTTACTTTCACACATTTCTACTTAATTTTTGGTCCCTCAATCATCAAAAACGGTCAACAATTGGTTGAGATATGGCCAAAAACATTTTCATATGCAATTTGAATGTATATCCTTTCCGTTTTTGCCATATATCAGTCAAATTTTTATGGAATTGCTTAAAGTTTTGATTGGTCTATGGAGAATTAAAATATCTATCTACATATGCTACAGTTGAGTGCAAAAAGAATGAAGGTTGGTTCATTTTTCTGGTTCTTTCTAAGAATCTATTGTAGCTCAAATGTATTTGTGTATTCTTTTACATTATGTAGTTGTGTTACACTTCCCTTGGTATGGACTAATTTCAGTGAAAGCTGGAGCCTTGAGAAGGTTTTTATTCTGGAGGCCATTTTTGGCATCTGAAAAAAAAAAAATGCGCTAACCGGGGAGGTAGCCAGAACATACCTCTGGTCAACCTGAATGAGCCTATCAAAGAATCAGTCAAAAATACTGAGCAGTTAGGTCTGTAGAGGCTTTGGAAAATGGCTTGTTTTGTCTAAAACAGGCCAAAAATGACCAAAATCACTTCAGTCACCCACTGACAACTGACTATTAGTCTTGCAAACTCCATGAATACTACAGGACTAAATGTCAGGGTGTATATCTATATTGTATATATTCTGGGGCTTGTATATCTCCACTTTTACCTAAATATATTTTGTTGTCCAATGTCACACTAAATATATTTCTAGTGTGTCACACACCCCAAAATATATTTCCCCACTGGAATGGACTCCAAATATATTTCTTATGCCTGGACCCTGAATTGTGACTGTCACAATGTAGAAATATATTTCTTGTCTAGGATAGACTTGGGATATATTTTGCAGCTAGGGTTTACTAAGGATATATTTTTTCAGGTACAAGGGGTGTCTGGGGTCCTATATTTAAGAGAAAAACTTGGGATTTTTTCAATATAGGGGATAGGGAATTTACTTATTATTTTGTAGGCAGAATACCCTCATTGGGATGTTTGTTGACAGATATTTACCAATAGCATTGACCCATGTGTAGTATATGCTTTGATGTGTGCACTATTTCCTAATTGGGCCATTTCCTAATTAAGAAAAGCATTACACTTTTTTCTGACACACCTGATGTCAGGCACAGTGCGCATTTGGGTGGGGAACCCTTTCCCACGCTTTTTGGACCAGAAGAGTTAATGGCTAGCAGGGTGTTGTCCTTGTTAATGACGATGTTCGCATATTTCCCAATTAGGAAAGTCATTACATAATATCAGTTTGGTTTGTAGTGTCCGCTTTATTCATTAGAAAATTGTGTAGTGTCCGCTTTTTTCATTAGAAATGTGTGTAGTGTCCGCTTTTTTCATTAGAAGAATGTGTAGTGTCTGCTTTATTCATTAGAAAATTGTGTAGTGTCCGCTTTTTTCGTTAGAAAATTGTGTAGTGTCCACTTTATTCATTACAACACTGTGTAGTGTCCGCTTTATTCATTACAAAATTGTGTAGTGTTCGCTTTTTTCATTAGAAATCTGTGTAGTGTCCGCTTTGTTCATTACAAAACTGTGTAGTGTCCGCTTTGTTCATTACAAAATTGTGTAGTGTCCGCTTTTTTATTACAACACTGTGTAGTGTCCGCTTTATTCATTACAAAATTGTGTAGTGTCCGCTTTTTTCATTACAAATCTGTGTAGTGTCCGCTTTATTCATTACAAAATTGTGAAGTGTCCGCTTTTTTCATTAGAAAACTCTGTAGTATCCGCTTTTTTCATTAGAAAACTGTGCAGTGTCCACTTCTTGCATTACAAAGGTGTGTAGTGTCCGCTTTTTCATTAGAAGAATGTGTAGTGTCTGCTTTATTCATTACAAAATTGTGAAGTGTCCGCTTTTTTCATTACAAAATTGTGTAGTGTCCACTTTTTCATTACAAGTCTGTATGTAGTGTCTGCTTTTTTCATTAGAAAATTTTGTGGTCTGCCTTTCTGATATCTTGTGACTCCAGCAAAACAGCTCTTCATCATTTGGAATTCATACACCAGTTGTGTTTTGACTGAGCATCAAGTGTCCTAACTTTCCCCTTGAACAGCATGTGACAGTAGCCCCAACAGCTGGCAAATCAATCACTGAGATTGTCTTGAAGGAGATCATGTTGAGGTTGGCTATGGTCAGACATAGATGAACAGAGATGAGTCCCCAGGGAGATGCAATGAATGTTGGACAACTGACTGAAACTGGCCAAGGGGACAAATAGGACACTTGATGCTCAGTCAAAACACAATTTGTGTATGGATTCTAAATGATGAAGAGGTCTTTGGCTGGAGTCAGTTTCTCTGAAACATTGAGCTATATCCCCAGGAAGCTACAATATATCAGAAAGGCAAACCACAAAGTTTTGTAATGAAAGAAGTGAACACTGCACACATTTCTACTGAAAAAAGCGGACACTACACAATTTTGTAATGCATCAAGTGGACACTACAGAGTTTTGTAATGAAAAAAGCGGACACTACACAATTTTGTAATGAATAAAGCAGATACTGCACACATTTCTATGAAAAAAGCGGACACTACAAAGTGTTGTAATACAAAAATGGATTATTCCATACTTTTGGGGGATGGATTCCATGGTTTTGGGGGATGGATTCCATGGTTTTTCCACATGGATTCCATGGACTTTCCACATGGATTCCATGACTTTTCTGATGGATTCCATCCTTTTGGTGGGTGGATTCCATGGACTTTCCATATGGAATGAGTTCATGGAATCATAATTCTACACTTATCCTATACTATTTTCAGCATGGAATCCATGTGGACTCCATGTGGACTCCATGTGGAATGACTTTGTGGAATAAAAATCTTACACTTAAAATTGTCTGTTGTTGTATTGATTGACATAGTACAAAAATTTGAGCTTTTATCTACTAAAATCATACATTATCATCACTACCATCATTATCATCACTATCATCACCATCACCATTATCCCCTTGTGTCATCTTTTCTTCCCTCTTTTTTATCTTCTCAAGAACATGTTGGGTATGATAAAACAACATTGCATGCAAAAACCAGTTGAAATTGTCAACAGTCATCCTTTTCAAAATAGAATCAAATCCCCCAATCCACCCATTCAATTGTTCACATGCTTGAGTATTGAATGCTCATTTCAAATATTTTTCCCCATCTTTTGTCTCTGCTTCAATAACCAAATTAGGTGCTGATCCATCAAGAGAAGCAGGGTTGCAATATTTTCGGCAGATCATATCTGTAGTGTGATGATTGATGTAATGATATGCATCAACCATAAGTCGGCTAGTCTTGCACCATTCATCCCAGCTTCCATTTTGAATGCTTGTTCTAAGAACCAGACATGCCTTATCAATGCATATATAATCCGGTCTTGTACTTTCATCTGGAAATGTATCTTCCATAAACTTTAGAATGTTTGTTGGTGACTCAGCTTTTGCAAACTTGACCCATGCAATGAAAACACCACAAGGTGCACAAATTGTTTCCACACAATAAGAGTGCTTTGGACTGAAGTAGTTTTTATTTTCTACTTCAGGAGCTTCCTCATCATGAGGTTGGACATTTCTGGGAACTTCTGGATTCCAGGCAAGATTTTCATTTGGTTGATTTAGCATTCGTCGTACCCCAGCCAAGCTTGACTTTGATCGAGACTGTCTATATTGATGCCAGTCATTGCGATGTTCATGACAAGCTTGAGTTCCGTCAATCTTGTTATTTTGACAATCCTTAACACAACAACGATTACAAAATTCTCTTTCATGGGTCTGACAAAATGATTCTCCCTTTCCACGAGCATTTGTAAGGGGTTTTGTACAATCATCAAATGCACAATGAGTTGGTCCCATAACAATGCCATCTATTACGACCATGTTCACCATGGCTGGTTGGTTTCCAGTATCAACATCCATTGGGTCATCTGATTCTGCCAAATTTTGCAGTTCTTCAGTAGCTGCAGCATCTAATTGAGGTACAGGTTGATTTTTATCAACACCAAGGACAGCTGCTGCATCATTGGCAGCAGGTAGAAAATCTGCAACTGCCTTGCATTCTTGAGTACACTCAGAGCAGGTGTGTTTGTCAGACAGCCTCATAGCACCACCTTCACCAAGAATAGCAAATGCATCATGAGTGAAATTATCAATTGATGGATTATCATTGGTTTCAAATGTGACCCCAGAAGCTTGAGCAATGGTACGAACTGATTCATGAACAAATGCCTGCCAAATTTGATGTCTTTCAATTTTGAGTGAGCCTTGTTTTCCATAGCTGTTGGTCCACTTCAGTCACCCATTTTAGGGTACCTATGAGGTATATGATTCTTTGATTTAAGGGTACCTCAATGTACCCATTACAGAGTGGTATGT